GTACACAAAGTTGGGAAGAAAAGTTTGCAAGGATTGTAGTAGGCATAACAATTTGTTGAACGATTCTTCCCAATACCCATACACATGTTCAATTGCATGTTGTTTAGCCAACCAAGCCTTTCTATAGGATGTAGTGTTCCCCCACAGAGGTCTTAATGGAAACAATAATTATTGCAATTGGTGTGGATGGGTCAGATTCGACCATCTCACGTATGTGATGAGAAATGATTCATGATCCCAGCCTGTTGTGATCTCTTGTGTGATGAGTTACGTCGCACATGTGTGGGCACCATCAATTTTTCTTATTTTTCAGACTTGATCTTGTGTACGATGGCTTGACAGTTTCATGGATATTGTTGATGAACACATTCCACCCTCAACATTGTTGTGTTAGAATGTGTCGTTTTGTATGTACAATGGTTTTGTATGTGAAATGTGTTTAGAGCATCAATGACTTGTTTCTTGGTTTGGAACCTCATTCCCTGAGTCAATGTTCCTTGATGGTCAAAAGTGCCATGCAAAACCGAATGGTGATCATATACATGAGGATATTTTGTAGATGCGAGGGAAATTCTTCATAGGATTAGAGGTGTTGAGGTAGGTTGTATGGAATAGATGTAAAAGGTTGTTGTTGTTGTTGATGTATTGAGGGGATATCTAAGTTTTGTTTATCATGATCGTGTTGGCTTAGAATTTCATCTTCACTAAATGGATCTAATGATGATGAAGGTAAACCTAATATTTCATTTTCTTATAAAGTAGGAGGGATAAGGGTTCTGTGTTTTGATGTGAGAGATATTGGAAAAGTTGTGAGGTGGATAGACTGATTAATAGTTCGGTGTATGACTCAACGATTTTTGAAACCCGTTAAAGACCTCAACGATTTTCCAAAGCCAATCAATGACTCTACGTTGTTCAATAGGCCTCACTATGTGTGTTATTAATGAAAAAAATACACAGTGATAATTCTATATATCGTTCTAATATATATATATATATATATATATATATATATATATATATTTGGTATATTATTAAATTCATAATTTTATATTTTAAATAAAATTAATTTTACAAATTATTTTATATTTGATAAGAATGGAAGAGAAAATAAAAGTATGGAGATGTTTGTTTTTCTCCAAAATTAAGATTATAGAATTCTAGGAAATTTTCGTGAATCTTTAATTATATTTTTAATTTAAGTTTAATTCTCGTATTGTTAGATTTTTCATTAAAGTTAAAAATCAATAAACTCATTCAATGTTAATAATATAAAAAATAATCTTAACTAAACTATTTTATTTACCAACTAGTATTTCTTTAGAAGTTTAAAAATATTTTTTTGTTTAATACTTCTTTTTACCATTTGCTTAGCAGAGACATTGAACAAGGTATCTCCCATCAGCATGTAAATGGTTGCAAAAAGAAGTATTCACTGAATAATCATCTGTATTGATAATCTTCCCTGATTTGGTTTTGGTGTACTAATTGTTCTGAATTCTTACTAATTGGAGAGGATAAAAAGTGTAAAAAACTCAATTTGGTGTAACGCTATCTTAATAACGTATAATTTGGTGTTGGTTTTCTTATGTAGTAGCAGTGAGTGGTTAGAAATGAATCTGAATTAATAGTACTATTTTGTGTGAGCCACACCAAATTCAACCGCCACTTTAAGGTTATGCTTCCCCTTTTTGTTTCTTCTTCTTCCTTACCTAAGCCTAATAATTTCCCACTTTCCGCCTTCGTTTTTCTGGATAACATCTCTGTTTCCACGATAAACTAATGCTTCTTTTCAATTGAACTTTTTTTGTGGTTTTTCTGTGTAGATTGGTTCAATGGCTTCGGTAATGCTCAGTGGAACTGAAAAGCTAACTCTGAGAACCCTAACCGGAAACGGGTTGGGTTTCACGGCTTCAGATTTTCATGGTAAGGCTTTTCCCAGAGTGAGTTTTGTTACTACTAGCAGTGCTAGAATCCCCAACTCTAGGAGCATGGTGGTGCCCAAGTGTAGTGTCTCGGCTTCCAGGCCAACGTCGCAGCCCAGGTTCATTCAGCACAAGAAAGAGGCGTTTTGGTTCTATAGGTTTCTCTCTATTGTTTATGACCATGTGATTAACCCTGGCCATTGGACCGAGGACATGAGGGATGAAGCCCTTGAACCCGCTGATCTCAGTTCCAGGGATATGCTTGTTGTTGATGTTGGTGGTGGCACGGGTTTCACCACTCTGGGAATTGTCAAGCACGTGAATGCCAAAAATGTCACCATCCTTGACCAGTCACCCCACCAGCTTGCTAAGGCCAAGCAGAAGGAACCACTCAAGGAGTGCAAGATAATCGAAGGGGATGCTGAGGATCTCCCCTTTCGAACTGATTATGCTGATCGATATGTATCAGCAGGAAGGTAAATCTTGTCTTTACCTGTCTTGTCTATGATGTTTTAATTTGTTCTTATATGATGATATTGTGTGATGACAAATTTTCATTGCTGTGCTATAGTTGCATTGTCGTTATTGAAGAGTTCGGATCATTCAGTGACCTAGATTGGAAGTTAATTTACATTTTGGTTATTTTATGTGTATATAGATGTATATTACTGCGTTTGGTTCCTCATCCCAGATGTGATTTCTCATGTTTTTGGATGTGATTTTAAGAAGCAAATAGTTAAAGCTTCCACATTCCAAGTGTGATTTTTACTTCTCAATGGATTTCCAATAGTGGTTAGCTGTAAAAGAGGTGATTTGCGTGCTTTTGTTTCTCAGTATTGAGTATTGGCCGGATCCGCAGCGAGGCATCAAGGAAGCTTACAGAGTTTTGAAACTTGGAGGCAAGGCGTGTCTAATTGGTCCTGTGTACCCAACATTTTGGTTGTCTCGTTTCTTTGCAGATGTTTGGATGCTCTTTCCCAAGGAGGAGGAGTATATTGACTGGTTTCAAAAGGCAGGGTTTAAGGATGTCCAACTGAAAAGGATTGGTCCAAAATGGTATCGTGGAGTTCGCCGGCATGGCTTGATTATGGGTTGTTCTGTGACCGGTGTTAAACCTGCATCTGGGGATTCTCCTTTGCAGGTATTTGTCTTCTTAGGTTTTCAATCTATATTTTTGTTCTTTTGCCCCTGTTTTCTTCGGGGATTTGTTATATATGACTAACAATTTGTTAGTCATATATTANGTAAAAGAGGTGATTTGCGTGCTTTTGTTTCTCAGTATTGAGTATTGGCCGGATCCGCAGCGAGGCATCAAGGAAGCTTACAGAGTTTTGAAACTTGGAGGCAAGGCGTGTCTAATTGGTCCTGTGTACCCAACATTTTGGTTGTCTCGTTTCTTTGCAGATGTTTGGATGCTCTTTCCCAAGGAGGAGGAGTATATTGACTGGTTTCAAAAGGCAGGGTTTAAGGATGTCCAACTGAAAAGGATTGGTCCAAAATGGTATCGTGGAGTTCGCCGGCATGGCTTGATTATGGGTTGTTCTGTGACCGGTGTTAAACCTGCATCTGGGGATTCTCCTTTGCAGGTATTTGTCTTCTTAGGTTTTCAATCTATATTTTTGTTCTTTTGCCCCTGTTTTCTTCGGGGATTTGTTATATATGACTAACAATTTGTTAGTCATATATTAACTTGAACTCCTAGATGATGTGCAGATGTAATCATAAACAAAGTAGACACTTAACATGAATAATTAGCAGATGTAATCATTTGCTGAGTATGATGATCAAACTAACAAGGTTGAATTTACTGCTTGCTTTCAGTTTTGATTTACATGCTTAGTTAGGTCAACAAGTTTCACACTTTCATTTCAACTTATAAAGGCTCTCATTCATTGAATAAGTTGAAGTGTAATATAATAGTTTCTGTTTACAAAATTATTGTACAGAGGCAAGCAAATGTTCTGGTTTTCTTTAACTGAATGTTATATTTTATGTTCTTTGAGTAAATATCATGAATAATTTGGTTTAGAGGCTGGATTTCCAATTAAGGGCTAACCTACTTTACCTTTTGCCTATGTAAGACATAGTTTTCTTGCTCAGCTGCAAAATTTCCATTCAAAATAATATAGTTATAGGATTTAAGGTTTGATTTAATATGCGATTTGTTTTCAAAATGTATACATTATTATCCCCTTGACTTTACAAGATGGTAATGTATTAGTATATTTCAAAAGTATATTTCCTTATTGTAGCTTAACAAGAGGAGTAAAATGTAAAATATGATGTTTGACTGGGTTTCTACAATTTGCTGCAGCTTGGTCCAAAGGAAGAAGATGTTGAAAAGCCCGTCAATCCATTTGTCTTCTTAATGCGCTTTCTTTTGGGTGCCTTGGCAGCTACATGGTTTGTGTTGGTTCCTATTTACATGTGGCTCAAAGATCAAATTGTTCCCAAAGGTCAGCCAATCTAAGAGATATTGGTAGTTAAACCTTTTGATACTTAATCAACTTCTAGTTCAAAGTTTCATCCAATTTACGTGCAACTAAGAAACATCTATCAAACGTCAATTAGTTTATTATGGAATTGAGCTCAATTTTTATGGGTGCTCTTAGCTATATGATAATTTTGGGTGTCAGCATATTAGTCAAAATCTAAGAGTTAGATGGCAGACTCATAAGTTTGCACTGTTTCCAAAAATTATGTTCGTTCCACAGCAAGTTATGATTGGAACAGTTTGAAATATGGGGGATCGTGGCTAAATTTTGAAAAAACAAAGAATTGTTTGGAGTTCATTTTTGGGTCAAAGGTTTTTGTTTTCCTCTTCTTCACATACAAATAAATGGTTTGTGTCTTCACCTTTTTCATCTTCAACACTGCTCGTGGTCTTCGTTCTATTTTGGGTGTTGTGTTTGTGCGGTGGGGGACCTAGTGTTGGTTTCCGTTTCGTTTCTTCATCAAAGGGCATTTACTTTTCATTTCCAGTGATTGATTTTGATTTGATTATTGCTTATTTTCAGTCACACACACATGTATCTACTATATGTATTACAATCTCAAGAATTAAGGTTTTGAGCTTTATATGATCTTAATCATAACATAATCTCCATTTAATCTTGAGAGGTCAGTTATTCCACCATGGCTACATAATGACAATGGTTTTAGTATGATAATCCTGAACTTTCAACAATTATTGGTTTTGGTTTTAGTTCTCATACTTAACTTTTTTTTATCAATTTGGTTCCAGGACTCTTACATAATGACTGCTTGTTTTTCATTGACGACGTTAATTTTTGTGTGCTAACGACGTGTGGTTAATATCGTTGATTCAAACAAAATAATAAAAAGGTGTTTAAAAATAATAATCGTATTTAAATTAAATATCAACAAAAGTATTAAGAATAATTATAATAATATTAATATTAATAATGAAATTATAATAACAAAGATAATTTAGTCATTATATATATATATATATATATATATATATATATACATATTTAAATTATTATATCTCAAATCACTCAATTTTTCGCAAACTTTTTTTTGTATTTTTTTCACCTTTCACTAACCTGTTCGTTCTCTGATAATGGAAAAACAACCATTTGCTGTGCATAAGGAAATAAATCGGAAATATAAAGTGCCAAATGTAATAATCATGAAAAATAAGGAAACGACAACTCTAATATTTCCTTGCACATATGAGCTGATTTGGAAGGAAACGCACGTACACTATTGATTATGGTAATATTATATCTTTTAGATAAATAATTAAAACATATATACATATTACAAAAAATTATTTAAATTTAATAATTTTAAAGTTATTTATTTTAATATGTTACTATTTTAAAAACCTTTTTTATTTCATTAAATTTAATTATAATTTATTTTAATATATTATTATTTTAAAGATACATTTTATTTATTGAAATTTATAATAATATATTTTCATTCTAATTCATATTTTTAAAAATAATTTTTATATCAAATTATTTTAAAAAAATCATATAATTATTTTCTAAATATTAATATGAAAAAAAAATATTTTATCACAACAAATCAAATAAATTTTAATTTTTCTCACCATTTTTTCTTCACTTTTGCAATATTTTTTCTCCTAATCCAAACAGTTTTTTTTATCTATGGTGAAACGACCAGACTACTCAAACAAACAATAACTTACAATAGACACATTAACTAACTTTGAAAAAAAGTGATGGAATAATGCCAAGCTAAGGATTTATCAAACGTAGAATAACTCAATAAAAATCACAAAACTCATCAACAAAGAGCATGATGTTTAAAAGCAATAAGGAAGATCAAAATCAACCTACCAAGGTCATCCAAGGCTGTCTAGCACAAGTTAAAGCTCGCTTAAAACTAATACAAATTAAAGTATATACTAATTGACGTCAGAAAAGGGAAATCAAGTTAAAGCTCGCTTAAAACTAATACAAATTAAAGTATATACTAATTGACGTCAGAAAAGGGAAATCCCGACGTCATTTAAGGTGCTTTTGAAATCCTCGGAAGAAGGGGAGGCCTAACTCATCCCCACAAAACCGGCTTGTAAGGTGAGGTCTGCATCCACTTATATACTTTAATTTGGCCTTATCTCTAGTCGATGTGGGACTTCCAACACACCCCCCTCACGCCGAGGTATATACATCTCGAGCGTGAGATTAGACATTAATGGGTGGTCAATAGCGGCCCGATAATGGATGGAACAATATGCCCAACAAACAACCAATAATGCTAGGATAGGCTCTAACCATAGCTCTGATACCACACGAGTGCCATGAGTGTTTAAAGAGATTCTGACAAGCTGACCAGGTTCTTCAGTAAGGATTAGAAGGATTTGCATCCTCTGTTCTTCATTGCATACATCTAATAACTTCTGCATAAGGTAATTTCCAAAAGGATTCACCATAAGTTCCACTACATGATCAATGATCTCGTTAAATATCACTTGAACATCATCCCGTGTACCCTCATCAAACATTTTTTGCAAGAACCTACAGCCATGCTGATCTTTAGCCATTAAATATATATAACCTTGGGCTTCAGCTAGAGAATTGTATTTGGGCACCAAAGGTAAGGAGCAACCTATCCTGGCACCCCTAGGATTGTCAAAATTTCCTACAACCTGGTAAGGCATGCCTAGCTCTGATCTCTTGCAATGCTTATCAAAGCCAGTGCCCCGTAGTGCAGACTTACTATGATACATGGAAGAATCCGAACCTCTGCCAGCAACATAATTTACACCTTCACCTTGTATGATGAAGCTTCCCTCACTTGCAATTGCATCTATATTTCCTTGTGGGATTCTAGCATTTGATAGAGGGACAGCTCTTGCATTATTAGGCACAGAACGGCTATACTGCAGTAAATCTTGAACACCCAAATAAGGTCTTAAATTAACAAACTGAGGAGAGGTAGGCCATCTTTGCATGCCTGTTTCTTCAGTTAGATGCATTCCATTATTCTGAGCATAGAGTAACGCATCAACCACTGGATTTATACTCAAAGGAGTGTACTCCGGTGGCTGGCTTCGACTTCCTCCACTGTAGTAGTTATTCATCAGCTGCCTTGTCTGATGGCATGGAGACTTCAATGAACCACTAAAGTCATTTAATTGAGAAAGCATTGTCTCAGTCCTTTCAGCACACTGTCTTGATCCAAATAAATTAGCCATTCTATAGTCCCGGGTCAACCCGGACAAGGCCATATTCATTTCACCATCATGATTTACAGGGCTCCATGGCACAGGGGCTTGAACCCCAACACAATCCAAAGAACCTCTCCTGAAACTGCAATGTGCCCCGTTTGTGTGAACATTGCTGGGACCATTTCCAGTGAACGAACATTCTGGAAACAGTGGCCTATTCATGCCCATCGAATGTTCCTTGAAATCACAAGGCCTCTCTTGTTGATGATTGCTGATGTGCATTCGACTCAAATTGGCACACAGGTCAAATTCATCAACCAAACCTCCATTGGCATTATTAAAAACAGTTGAATCAGGTGTGATGAAACGGTTCTTAGGGTAAGAAGAAGAACCTCCAGAAGGCATGGTGGATTTAAGATCCTCCAATGGAGGAGGGGTTGGTGATCCAGTGTCAGACAAAGCATGTCCAGAAGAGAACAAGCTTGAGGAAGAACCATCAGATTGCAGAGAAAAACCACTCGCAGGAGACGAGACACATGGATACTGAATCTGACTAAATGGGTCATCATCACACACACCACACATTCCATTAGACACAAAAAAACCATGATTATGATGATCATCACCATCACGAACATCATATGATTTCCCGTGGTAAAGATTGTTTGATGTTGCCTGAGGGATCTCATTCAGCAACATCTCAAGCTCCTCAAGGCCCCCATCGTCTTTCACATTCTCCAACATCTCTTTCCCCATCTCAATGCTTTCACACACCAACAACCAGTGACAGAACACAACAAAAAAAACAAAACGAAAAACAAACAAACCAAACTCACACACAACAATCAAAAGACTCCATGAATCAGAAAACCCATTTCAGACATAGATTAAAAGAGAGTAAATAACACAATCCTATCAGAAATTAGAAGCCTTGTGTCATCTTGGTTGCGCTCAGTGGTTGGAAAAACTGAAAAAGTTAGGTTCTTTGTTATTACGAAGAGAATTGGGATTGCATTTGCATTTGCATTTTGAGAAAATCATATTATTTGGGTAATGGGGATTGTCTGAGTGGAGTTGGTGAAGCATGCAAATATTGAAGATTTACATGCGGTCACTGGGAACCGTAGGCGTACACACTCAGCGTAGTCTCACAGACCATTAAAACTACATCTACAAATGGTATATGACATTAGAATTCTCATATTTCGACCTCATATACCCTTCAAAATGAGTAAATGCAGAGTTGTAAGAAATTACAACTGACCTTTGGTTTCCCACAGGCCAAGTAGACGTCGTAACAACGAAAACTTCCAACATCAATTTTCTCATTGGACTCTCAACAACTTTATAAATGATCACAACTGTCACTACATAGTTTGAGGGATATATGACGTCGACATTCTCCATTTCGCGATGCCATATACCCTTCGAAATGAGTATTTGCAGTTGCAAGAATTTACAACTAACCTTTGGTTTGCCACAGACCAAGTCGACATCGGAACAACAAAAACTTTCGACGTCAATTTGCTCATTGGACTCAATAATTTAATAATGATCACAATTATCATTACATAGTTCGAGGGATATATGATGTCGGTATTCTCCATTTTTCGATGTCATATATCCTTCGAAAGTTGTAAGGATTAAGTGATGACCTTTTGATTTTTCACTCACCAATTAGACATCGGAAAGATGGAAATTTTGACGTCATATACCCTTGAAAATGTTGAAATTTTTGCAGGCAAGTCTAAGTATTTACTATCATACGTCGTATGCCCTAGATTTCGACGTCATATATCTATAAGACGTCAAAATTAGTGCTTTTCCAATGTCATATATCTTGTAAAAACTTATTCCACTCTCAGTGTTTCTTCATGCTTTCATTTGTACTTGAACTTTCGTTTTTGAAGACAAGTGCGAGCAAGAAAAGAGATTAGTTTTTACTTAGTTAACTCTTGCGAAAGTGCTTCCATGTACTTTGGTTATGTATTTTGTATGTGTTGACTGATTGGTTTTTGTATTTTTTGAAGTATTTACATGCGTACATGAGTTCAACCTCCATTCCTTAAGTGAGAACTAACGGCTTTGTTCACAAAGTCAAGGAACAACAAAGGTTGATTTTTGTGTTATTTGTCATAAACGTATTTGTTTTTGAAGGTGTGGTTATAATTTTGTTTATATTTTTGTATTTGGTGTTTCATAAGTTAGATTTATTTTTTGGTGTGATTTTTTTCCTTTTTATTTTTTATAAGTATGAATCAAAGATTGATGAATGAACATCGTATTCGTTAAGAGTATGAAAAATGAGTTTTTGAGTTCTTACAATATGTTCAAGAACATGCAAACCCAGTGAATGAGACATATTTTATCTTTGTGGTCATTGTCTTGATAAAATATTGGAAGACTTGGACAATATTCGTGATCATTTATGGAATAATGAGGAGTTATATATACAGTTTGGACTTTGCGTGAAGAAATACTACACCCCAAACAACGTCAAGAGATACAAATTATGTGGACGAATGGATGAATGATCATTTTGAGGATATGGTACGAGATGTTGGAGAAGAAAGTTTTAGAAAACTTCATTTATAGGATTCTCTTAAGAACGATCTAGAGCAAGAGTTGTATCTAGCATGCACCTACTTTAAACAGTTGTCAGCAATTTTGAAATTGTTTTGTTTAAAAGCACGGAATGGATTAACTGATAAAAGTTTCACAGAATGGTACAAGATGTTGGAGAAGAAATTTTTAGAAGAGTTCATTTATACGATTCTCTTAAGAACGATCCAGAGCAAAAGTTGTATCTAGGATGCACCTATTTTAAACAGTTGTCGGCAATTTTGAAATTGTTTTGTTTAAAAAGCAAGAAATGGATGAACTGATAAAAGTTTCACAGAATTGTTGGAGTTGCTGAAGGAGATGCTTCTAGAAAATAACACGTTACTTATCCTTAATTACGAGGAGAAAAAAATTCTATACTTCACTGAAGGTGTATCCGACATGTGGTTTATCACAGTTTAAGCAGAAAGTTGATGAAAATAATGATGATGAAGACAATGATGGTCCATCTGCTAAGGTGATGTGGTACTTGCCTATAGTACCTAGGTTGAAACGATTGTTTTCCATTAAAGAATATACGAAGAATCTTAAATGGAAGAAGATTCCCTACATCTTTATAGGAAGCATTGAAGAAAGTAAATAAATCCGATCCTTCTTGGAAATGAGAGACACCCATAACTTGTTATAGGGTTCGACCGGGCCCGAAAAATATATAGGAAAGACACTGGCGTAGGAGTCAGGTCAAAGGCCTTGCAGACAATGACAAACGCCTACATAAAGGCCCACCCGTTCGGGCGCAGTTGGATAGGTGTCACCTTTAATTCCCGTATAACGCCCATTTGAAACTCGGAGAACAGTAGCTAAACGGACATGTCGCGATATATCGTTGAGTATGTGTAGAAGAAGTCTGATGCGTAACCCTCATTCCTATGACATGCCCGTTTGGTCCGTTTTGCAAACAGAGAGCTTAAAACACTCAGCATCTGCAGCCTCCCCCACCAAGTTAATAACGCTCTTAAGTTCCTGCAAGGACTAACTAGTACTGAAGTAAGAAATGTAGTTCCTGACCTCGTGGGGAACCCAACCTTACTTAGGAACAGGTAGTATCAACGCACAAGACCCTGTCCACTCCCCAACGACATCTAATTCCATGGCAATCGTCACACCCTTCGACAAGAGTAACATTATTATTTATATGCACGGTTGTTCCTCCGTCAACCGAGGCCTCGCACCGCTCGGTTGACCCTAAGATGGAAGAGCCGACGGACGACAATGATGACTTTGATCCACCATCAGCGTACCCCCGACCTCCCCTCCCTATGGACTCCTCAGACGAAGAAAGCTCCACAATCAACATTATTACCTTAGAATAAGAGAATGAATGAAATGATCAGTCGTAAGAAGTGAGAAAAATAATAAGTGTAAAAATAACCGCGACCCCACCCCTATTTATAGCCAAAAGAAGGGTTTCGACAAACGAATCTCAACCGTTGAAACTACCACGATCTAATGATCCACAAGGTGTGACCTTTCGTTTCAAGCAGACACACAATTACATTTTCTAATAACTGCCATGGTAATTGCCCACACAAGCAACTATTTTTGGATGAACGGTTCAACGAAATTCACTCCACTATAAAATGCACGGTCATCTCCTTGCCTTAAACAAACCCCTACACATCTCACTAATGCATGCCCGGGCTTGGGGGGCCTTTGTATAGTATGACTGAACAGTCAACAAGCAACGATCCCACATGAGTCGGTCGGTGAACCAGTTGGTCGGATTGCAA